GATAGCTGCTTGGGGTGGTAGAATAGGCACAGCCACAGAGTCCTGTGTGTGATCAGACTGAGTTCCCAAGAAAACAAGTGGGGCTCCGGTCTTGGTACCCCTTGTTCTCTGCTAGGCAGCGCCTGGCAAAACCACACCCCCCAGTGGACAGTCGGAGGAGTGCCTGAGTGAAGAAATGACACGCTCTCCGGGCCAGTGATCCCATCTGCAGACCAAGAACAGCACCCCTCAACCACCAAGTTCTGAAAGCTGTAGGTGCGGCAACCACCGGCTTTGTGCACATTGAGTGTGCTTTCTCCCTTCGTCCTCTCTGTTTTGGGGTCATATGCTGCTTTTCTTCCTCCGTGAGTATGAAAATGCTCCACACGTAAGGAAGAGACCGACATGCGACTCTGGGCTCCCCACGGAGCGTCAGAGCAGCCCCGTCTTTCCAGAGCCGCCCCCCGGCCAGCTTCTAGAGGGTCCCCGAAGGTTCCGCAGGCATGGAATTCCTGGTGTGAGGTCACCCTGAGTCACCCCAAACACCCCCTTCTGGTGCCCTAACACTTCCTTCTCCACAAAAGCCCCCCCCATCTGTAAACATGAGCCCCCACTTTCTTGGTGGCCCGTGGCTGTACCTGTCACGGTTCGGTCGGGCCTCCTCCGTTTCTTGCATGACACAGAAACATGAGAACTGTGCCAACAGGCATCCAGTGAATGTTTCCAGCTCTTGTTTTTTCCAAGGCTCAAATTTCCTAACTATTTTTCTTTTAGCAGGACAAAAACTTGAGGAAATGATCTAACCAGGCAGCCGGGAAAATGGTTCACAGAAAAATCTGGCCCCGGAAAGAGTCTGGGTTCAGTCGCTATTAACACCCACTGGAAGGCGGCAGAACAAAGGAGCGGGCAGCGGCAGCACAGAGGAGGGCTGGGTCTCCGCCCGGGCCTGGCCCCCATCCCGCTGTGGATGAGAAGGCACCCGCTGCCAGGTTCCCGGTCAGAAAGCAGTTAAAGGGCGGTGTGAGCTGGGCGGCTCCCTGGCTCCAGGGTAAAGAATGGAGAAAAAGCGAAGGGAAAAGAGGGAACAAAGACCTGGGACTCTTGGTCTGGGACGCTGTCTGGGAAGAGGTCTGGGACGCTAGATAGCAAACATGTCCTCTGGCGATCACTCGCAGCCACTGAGCTGGAAAGCGTTTCTGCCACAGGTGAGACCTGCTCAGCACAACGAGAGACGTTTCTCTGGTGTGGCCACACAGTGGACACTTCAGCTGGCACCTGCCTGCGGCTAAACTTCCATCATGGGACAGAGGACTACACAGAAGGGACTGTGGAAACACCTGAATGCGCTCAACAAGTCAAAGCAGGCAGTTTGAAAAGAACTATCCAGATGGAGTCCCCAGCACTAAGGAAAACGAAATGCTAGTGAAGGCCCCTGCAGGCCATTAGAACTGTCGGGGAGAGGTCGGAAGGCGGGCAGAAACCACGGCGGCAGAGAGGGTCGGGGTCCACCAGCCGTGGGCCGGTGGGTCACAACAGAAGGCTTGAGAGACAAGAGACTGTCTCGTTTTAAGTCAAAGAAATCAACACTGATGTTTAAGAAAATGCACAGTACAGGGAAGGCACACGCCGCCAAAGGAAGCATAAAAGCCACTGGGGTGGAGCAGGAGCTGCATTTCTCTGAGACAAACTTGGCTGGCCTTTAACCCAAACCCCAGTTCAGGTCTGTGGAGGAAGCACTCTCGTAGGAAATCTGGGCGAGTGTGTTTTATTCTTATAAAGTAATTAAGGTAATGAACAGGCTGTCCCCTGCTGGGGAAATGTCGGAGGACGACAGGATTTACTGTGCTGTTAGAAGCGGGGGAAACACGCTGCTGTGGAGGGCGGGCGGGGGTAGGAAGCGGAGTGACTCCACACGCGGTCTGATGCGCGCGTCTCCGGGGCCGGCGGCGGCGACAGTCGCCCTCCTGTTACTCTCTGCCCTCACCCTGACCCTCCGAAGCAGCAGAGGTGCATCCACGCCCCAGACTGTTCCTCATTAACTGTTCTTCCCACTCAACGCTGTTAAAACGGAGCTTCCTCTCCAACAACTCGAAATACAAATTCTGCGACTTTCACATGTATTTTGCCTAAATATTTTTCCTCATTCCCATGAATTTGGCTCTGAATGTCCCTATGGTAAGGCAGGCAAATGGCAGAAATACAGAATCCCAAATACTGTCTCCTTTGGCGCGCCTGATTTTTTTTTAGGGGGGTAAGAGGTAGGGGTAGGGTAGGGAAGAAGATTTGGCCCCTACTTCAGAATTCTGGGTCTTACCAAGTAAATGTTATGGAAATACCAGGACCTTACTTCAAGGGTTCAAGTTTGAAATCCCACACTCTCCTGTGGTGGTACTTCCCAAAATTTACATCCATGCTGCTATTACTTCATGCAAAAGAACTAGAAAGAATGGCATTTTGTTCAGAAGTCAATGATCCAGAAGCACAGATTATTTAAAGATTCTTTTCAATTTCTCATTTCATTTTTAGCATGTCTTTTGGCCAGAGAAAGATGAGGCATTCAAATGCATTTCCTTGTAGATTTAAGATTTGATGACAGGGTAAGAGTGAAACCAAGAGGAACACGACTCAGGACAATCACATCTCTCTTACAAACATACACATAGGCAAGTAAATGACAGCGGGCTCCACTGGCAGGGACAACCCTTTCCTCCTTCTACTATAAAACTGGTCAAGTAGAATGAAATGTTTGTTGTAATACAGAGCCTCGCTTAAGAAAACAAGAAATGTCCAGACATCACAGAGGAATAAAGACCTGAAGTGGAAATCTGGAACGGGAGCCTTGGGGCCGGGGCCGGGGCCAGGGCCAAGATGTTGAGTCCGGTGGAGGAGAGGCGCTGGCCCCCTGCCTGCGCGCCAACAAAGCGCGGAGCGGCGCCCCACGCCTCCCCCACCTGCCGCTGCCTGCCAGCCCGGAGCCAGGGCCGATTTCCTTCGCCTGGACTCAGGGAGGTGGTCATTTCGCAGGAGAGTGCACCCATGAGCTGCATCACCGTGAGTTTTCACTACCACGCGGTAAAAGGTCCGAACCCCAAATTACTCCGTAGCGGCACCATCAGAACCCTGGGATGTGGACCAGTTGAAGATGAGCTCACAGCGCTAAAAGCCCCCGCGACGGAGCAAAACCCCGTGGGGCAGCCAGAAGTGTGGCTAACAGAAAAATCAGCTACCCCTCCCCAACTCAAGAAAAAAAATTAGAGATAGAACATGAATATGTTACAGTAACTTTTAACACGCAGAAACGATAATAAAAAATAAGTTGAAAAAAAGAGCAGACAAGTGCGAAAAAGAATCAAAGGCAGCTTCGGAAATGAAAAGCGCGAATGAAATTAGAAACCCGACGGCACAGAGCAAACGGAGTACAGGGCTCAGAACAGCATCAGTGAGGTAAATCCAAAGCAGTTACTGAGAACACAGCCCTGAGAAATCTAAAACATATGAAAAAGGACAAATTCAAGAGCAGTCTAAGAGAAATCCCAGAAGGGAGTAACAGCGCATGGAGATGAGATAACAGTCAACAAAACGAGAACATGCAGAATTTTCTTACATGAAAACTCAGAGCAGAACGTGAGGAACAAAAATAAATGAGTAAAACTAGGGGTGAAACATAATTGAAGACAAAAATGCAAAAGCTGGGTGAGGGACTCGTGCTTGTTATAAAATAGTTCAATATGCAATTTTATACGCTATCTCGTTAAGGTCCGTTGACAAGGAGACACGTTGAATGCGCAGAGGCAGCGCGCGCTACGGCCTCTCCAGGGCTCGGCGCAGAGCCTGGAGGTGCAGCTTGCTTTCCGGAACGTCCAGTTAGTCTCGGGTGTGTCGGTGGGACTTGACTCCACAATCTGCTGCCCACTCATCTCGGGGCAGAAAACTTTACTCGAAATTTCACTAGGGTATATACTACTCTTCAGAATCACGACTGCCAATTTTTCTTAATTCTGAACTAATTCAAAAAGTGTTGGTCTCTATAACTTAATTTGTCCAGCAACCAAGTACTGGAGTGAATTCTGATGACAAGAACCCCATCTTGTGGCAACATTTTTCACAATCAAGTGTGGCCGCACGCTGCCTTGCCAGCCTCACTCGGAAGATAAATCTGCATTGAGAAGTTATCATTTCACCTGCTTCGGCAGACAGACTTCCTAACCCAGCATTTATCTTGTGTCCGTGACGGCACCAGAGTGTGCCGTAAATCTGCAGAGCGCAGTGATGCTGGGACTTTGTGAGTTATTTGCAGGGGAAAGCTGGTAGTCTGCGCAGCTCACTGCGGGAATATTTTAGCAGGAAAGCAAACAGACTTGGGGTTAGCTTCTGAAATGTTACCATCTGGTAGGTATGGTCCAGATATTCCTACAAAATGAACTCACGTAACTAAAGCAATCACAAGACAACTTCTAAAGCCCGTAACAAATGACACCACAGTTACCCCGTGCCTGACAAAGGCACCCCACCACGGCACAGGCCTACCTGCATTTCTCACCCTTCGAACTGCAACCCTCTAAAAGGAGTCTTTTAATCAGTTTCATTTCCCTATTTTAAGACAGTAAATCTAGGTTCTAGAAATAAAATTCCCATTTTTCCTCTGAAAGGAGTGTCTTCCTCAGTGTCTTTCCCCACTGACCCACGTTTCTGTTTGGAAAGGTCTTATATCGTTACTTAAGCTAAAAAGCGTAAAGCTCTGAGCACAAGTTTAAAAAGACAGTGGATTAATATTAAAACAGCTTTTTATTTGTTAATGTCAGATAAGAAATTTAAGCAAGTTACACTATCTTAAAAAAAACCCACGACTAACGCATTTTAAGAGAAACCCTCCCCCGCCCCCTCCCCCCTTCCCCTCGAAAATTAAAAATGTAAGAGAAGTAACCATAAAACAAAGTTTTGTGGAATCCTTCATCCAGAGTGCTTACATGATTAGGTTAATATTGCCATCTTACAAAATTTCTCTTTTCTATTAAAAAAAATTGTAGCCTTGATTGTTTATTACAAAAAATCTCATTACAAAATTCCGGTACATTGAAAAATGCTCCCCCCTCCCTCACAGCACCGTTATATGTAGCAGAGGATAATCAAGAGCAGATTGCTAATCCAGGAGAGCAATCTTCAGATTAAGCCCAGACACACAGTGGTTTATTGACCCTCCCCTCCTCTTCTCATAAGAACTTAAAAAAAAAAAAACACATACATACAAAAAAATGCCAAAAAAATTTGAGGGACCCTTTCCAAACAGTACAGTTAGTTCAGTGTCAATAATTCACATCTTGCAACAAAGTGTATGGATATGATTTCTTTTACAAAACTTCAGTGTCAAAAAAAGAAATTAAGGCCATCATATTCGCAGCTTAAAAATTCACATAAAGGAAATATAAAAATATTCTGTGCTTCGGAGAAGGCTCTGCACTGTATGTAGGTAAGGATTACCATACTTTTTTTTATTTCAAGGAAGACAGTTGACTTGAGAAGTTTACATAATTGCACAGCTTCTTTCAGATGCTCTCGGGGCTCCCTGATGAAGAAAACAGAAAGAAAAGACCGCACTGAGAACGTGGATCACAGTATTTTAAAGTAAGAGGCACTGCGGATCTGCATGACCTGTCCTCTCACTGTCCCCTTTAACCATCTCCTGGGGCGCCTCCCCAGACACTCCAGCAGCTGCCAGGACAGGGACTCTCGCCTGCAGCTGCACATTCAGATCCCAAGGAGCTTTAAAAAATCCTAATGTGGGTCCCTAGATCAATTTAATGAGAATCCATTTATATAAAATGTCAAAGCTCCTAATTTTAAGTAACTCTAATATGCAACTGAAGTTGGAAACCACTGTCCGTTAACATCCTTGTGGGAGTATAACTTGTGAACCAGACGGGTGGGTGGATGCCATCCTGAACAACCCCGCCCGAGAACATGCAGCTGGATCAACTGTCACATCCTGAAGCATCTGCGCCGGGTTCATCCTCAAATGCGAACGTCACCAAAAAACCTCGTCAATTCGCAAGGCAACTGGCTTCATTCTCTAATGCGAAGTCCAACGAGCTGATCTGCCCTTCCCTCTTCCCGCTTTTGAACCTTGATATCATTATTTCCTCTGATCACACAAGCTTAAAACTTTGTATATCTTTAACCTCTATTTTTCTTCTCTCATCTTCAAGTTCAGCCACTGGGCCTAACAAATCTCCATTTAAATAATCCCTCAGAGTCTCCGCAATCTCCCTTCCAGAGTCAATGTCTCTGATGTGGTTTCAGTGTCTTGCTCTGCTCCAAGGTGTGCAGCAGCTACTTGCCTGGGGCACTCCGGACTATGTCGATTTGACACCCACCTTCCAACTCTGCTTAGCTCACACACCCTACAATGCAGCTGGATGCACCGACGTATCCTGTGCTTAAGTCTTGCCATACCCCCTACAATGAATTAAAGATTGTCACAAATTCTTTGCCACCCTTCACATAGCCTGTTATGGACCTAGCCTTGAAGAGATCCAGTGCTCTTTGTCTTCACCCTCTTGGAAGCCAGCTGCCATGTTGCAGAGCTTGAGCTAAACGAGTGATTAAAAGCCACATGGAAAGAGACATGGTGGACATTCCAGCCCCAACCAAACCAAGCTCTACTGAATGCAGCTAGCTGCATGGTTAACTGCAGTCTCCATCACGCAGAGCAAAAAACTGCCCAGCTGAGAGCCCGAACCACAGAATCACAGGAAGTAAGAAATGATACTTTAGGCCACTAAGTACTGGGGTGATTTTTTTAATGCAAAAACAAATAATTCAAACACCCTCGGATCATCATCACCTGCTTCTCATACCCAAATACTTGCCCATCCTTCAAAATACTGAACAAGGATATTTCCCAAGGTTCTTCTCAACTATCCTGGAGGCCCAGAGAGCATTCTCCACCGTCTGACCTACTACCCCTCATGGTCTGAGCCACTGGTCTGGCACCTTAATCTATCTTACATTGTTATTTTACTTCTAGTCATTATAACCCTTCTCATTAAGGGCAGGAAATGGATCCCGTGCTTGGCTTCTTAGTGAAGCCAAGTCTAAAGTATCTGTTCTTAAATATTCCCTGAAATGTATGAAGTAACCAACCAAAAACTCATTCTACCTCCTATAACCCACCTAAAGTGGCTCCCAACAGTGGGGACCAAACACATAAGATGATGTTCATTTGGAGCAGGATTGCGACTAATAAAGCAAACAACCAGAGTTAAATCTAAAGACAAAGTTTTATAAGAATAGGAATTTTGATTAATGATCAGACTCAAACAGCTTGAGAATATAAACTGAAGGCTCATTAATTATTAATAATTCCAATTTAATTAATTAAACTCAAATGGGAAACTTCTTTATTTCAAGGCCTCTCAAAAACCCAAGCATCAGCTAAAAATCTAATTTAAAATTAGATGATTAGGAACTTAATATAGTAACAACTTTATTTTGTACTGAATTTGAATATTGCTGTTTTTTTAAGTTTACATGCAGATACTTACTCTAACTTAGTGATATAAGTTTCTCAATCACAGAACCCTTAGGTAAATAAGTTTAAGCATGCAGTCTAATATATATATACTTATTCATAAGTGTTATGCATGTCCTACCATAACATTATGTATAGTAAAAAATAAAAGACAAAACTGAAATTGGATATAATGAGAAAAAACATTTTGAAAAGGCAGGCATTGTGTTCTTGCAGGACCCTAATGTACTACTGTACATGTGCCCTCAGGAAAAACAAAGCCCACTTGGAGACCGCTGGGCTGGCTCACCAAGTTCAAGGAAAAACCCAACTCCACTACTGGTTTTTCTTCACATGTAATTCTGTTAATAGAACTAAAAACAAATATACTGAAGTAATACCTGTGGGCGGAATTCTTCCTGGACAGCCACTTCAGCTGCTTCCTCCTCCTCCTCTTCCTCTTCAGGTATGGTTGTTTTAAAGACTGTACTTCTCTGAGCAACCTCCTAAAAGCAAGAGTAGTTTGGTGTTAAGTTAAAGCCACACTTAAAATCACAAAGGTTGAGAGGGAGGGGAAGCTTATCTTTACTTAAGTTTAAGAAATAGCATTCCTACATCAGGGCTAAAAAAATTTTAAGTAGTTTATCAGTAGCTTTAGCTGCTGAACAGGAAGTTTTTGCATAATTAGTAGCAGTTCTTAGATCTTCAATAGCCCCCCTGCAGGGGGGCTACTGGTACCCAATTTGAATCGCCTACTGAGAAGTTTCCACTGCTTTTCATCCCATTCTGCCACTAAGAATTCTATAAATGATCTGGCACACTAAATTCTTTTCACACTCAACAGGAATACTGAGTATAAAGCTCTCGCCTGGCTCCAAGCAAAGAGAAGGCGCTAAATAAATGCTGGATAAAATGAAGTCTCGGGCCAGCTGCTGCGGTCTCAGGGACTGGGGCAGCACCGGGACCAGCTACCCAGGGAGATGAGAAGGACGAGCTCCTTTCATTTCTTCAGCAAGCGGCTCCTCTGGAATGAAATGGAATCAAGACCAGTGGGCACTGTTTACTGACAACATACTAGTGGAGCTATATGCACTGTATTCCACATATAGGACAGACCTCCTGTCACTGCCTGGCAGTGGGACAGAGAAACCACTTCCTTTTGTACCAAAAGGCTCAAAAACAGATGACTCTCCCGTAGAGGCTGCTGGCTCACATAACTGCAGCACTGTTTGTTTTTGTTTTCTGGTTTAAGCACAGAGCTAAGCTGATGACCTGGCAGCAAGTAAATGAGTGCGCCAGAGAGCTCTGCCAAGCATCTCATTTTACTGTGTCCCATGTGCTAAGATCACTCAAGAAAGACAGCTCCTTTGGAGGAAGAGCAAGACGCCAAAGTAATGTCAGTGAAAGCGTATCTGCCGTTTGACACAGGTCAGCTAGTGTCAAATGGCAGAAGGAGAAAATCAAAAGTGTCACAGAAATGAGACTTCATTTTTTAATATGTCCAAGAATAAATCTGTGAATAAAATAAGGTAGCACAGTATTTCGTGGGGAGTTTTGATTTTTTTTTTTTTTTGCAGGGCCAGGGAAGATGAACTATTCTGAGTCTCTCAGCCAGAAATTTCAATTCTGTGCAATCGGTCTATGTCTGCAACACACAAATAGCCATTTTCATGAGCATCTGCCCGCTTTAACCAAATTAACACTATTTTTTTAAAAAGCATGTAAATCTTTAGATCAATTACAATTATTTGAACCAAGATATCAATTGGGAAATGGTAGCATGCAAAACAAAAAAGATTCTCAAAAAGCTTTCTAAGTACCCAGGTTTCTTCACCTCATCTTAAAATAAGGGGCAAAGAGTCCAAACCTGTTAACAGAACCCTCATACTCCAGCCTCCAGCAGCCGTGCCCAGTGTGCACATCCACGTGGAAACGCTGGCTCCTAAAGCCCACGAGGCAGTAAGACATCGGCCTCAGATGAGGGGCTTAGAAAACAGCAACTCGCCCGACTGGACTAATTTTTAATGACTTCAACATAACTACTCTTCATGCGAGCCATCAGGTAAGCACTTCTCATCTGCCAACACTCAAAAACCAGTTACTCTAATGTAGAAAGCCTGTACAGAAAAGGAATGAGCTAAATACTGCCTCAAAATTTAGACAGAAAAATAATAGAGGTAAGTGTCTTTACCAGAATAATTCCTCTCAGCAAGACACCCAGCCCTGTGAGTGCCCTGAACGGCAGGCGGGCACGGTCTCTGCACAGACCCACTCTGGGCGGCCCAGGCACAGCCAGCACACCCGCCTCCATGGCCGTGCAGTGACCGGCTCCCAGAGCAGCTAGTGTGCTCGTCTCGCCACACCTCTATGCTCCAGACGGCTTGTTGGTCGCCTGAAACCTCCACAGTGGGAGCAGTTATACCACGCAAATCAGTAAATGCCACAAATCTGGGCAGTTTTTGTTCATGGAGGAGCTGACTGTTAAGCTCTGATGCCTCTGTATACACATGTAATCACTTGCATACGCAAAAGTTCCAGTTATGCTCATATTCTACAAGGCACAGAGACAGTGCTTTATTTTTTCATTCCCCTCATACATAAACACTTTATTTATCATCGTGACATTTGCTGTTTTTAATCATCTAGCACACCCTCCCTCATTTCTCAGTAAAAACCCCCAGTTTCCCCGGATACTCATCTCTCCCATGGAAGAGGTGTGCGTCACAAGGAGGTGAGTGTGACCCAGCTATGGCAAGGGAAGGAGACGCAACTCCACCAACTCTGTCCTCCTGACTCTAGGACTGGTTGAGAGGTGGGCATGTGACCCGAGCTGGTTCTCTAAGACTGAAGCCCAGGACAAGGGCCTGCCCGGGAAGGTGCCCTCTCCCACCCAAGCCAGTCTGAAACCATGCGCCTTGAAGAGCGACCAGCTGGGAGGCCACTGGGGACGCAGAGACAACAGAACGCTGCTCGTGGACACTGCATAAGCCGACAGATGGCTAGTATCTCTGGATTGTTGGTTTCATGAACCCACAGATTCCTATTATTTTAAGGCCAGTTTAACTGGCTTTCATTGGGTTTTCTGATACTTTCAATGACTCAGCAAGAAGAAAATATACGTAGAAAATTAAACTGACTTAAACCAATTAACTTCAATCTTACAGAAAAGTGGTCTTTACAGTGGTAATTATAGACTGTTGCAATATGGTCTGGGACCTACTAATAATCATGGTCTTACAGCATTAAATAAACAGGTGCCAAAAGTACTCCTCTGAAATAAGTAACTATGTCGTGATACTGCCTATGCTTCCGACACAAGTCCTGTAATGAAGCCTAGCAAGCAGGAAGCCACAGTTTGTTAAAAGGTCTGAAAGTTGGTGGTTTGAAGTATGAAGGGAAGTAAGAGCTCAGTTAGCTTTCTGGAAACATCACCAATAACACTACCTCAAGGCATATCCCATGTTATGGTACCTGCTTTGTTCACATCATTGTAGCTGCTGTGTGGGCTTTTAAACCCGCTGCATTCCAAATATCCTCCTGTTTAGGTTACTGCTCACTTGGAACACATTTTGACACAGAAAAAAATGGCAAGTTACGGATGGTAACTAGAGTCCAAGGCTCACAAAAGTCTATTTCATCCACCTTATAATAGTGCTTTTCAACCCAAGCAAGTCACCATTCATAACAATGTTTTGAAAGAGACGTGTACGCTGCCAATTTCAGTTACTGGGGTGACGAGCAGCACAGGAGCCACAGTAATTCCAGCACTTCTGTGGCAGCACCAGCGACAGCTGGGAAGGATCCCAGTGCCAAAGGCAGCAAAGCAAGCAAGAGCTTCTGATTCTGTACAGAGAGCAGGAATGTCCAGCACCTTGAAGTCTGTGAATTACTGAAAGCATTTTGTAAGCACTCCCCCACCCTGAAAACCCAGCTAGTATTTGGAGGTGAATTCCCTCAGTATAAAATCATCGGTTTTATACTGTCAGATTGGCCAACAATATCACGCAGCTACACTGAGGTCTACAGAGAAGAAATTCGGATGCCGTGTCATCCACAGCCTCGGTCTTAGACGAGAGCCACTCTTCACTCCTCAGTGAATTCCTTCCACAGAGCCGTCAGCAGGTGTCCGCAGTGGGGATGGGCGGGAGGGTGGCCAGGCACAGGGCTTCTTGCGGAAATACCTCAGAGCCCGCAATGAATGCTGTTAATTACTTTATTTCTCTGAACTTAAGTGAGGGTCCATGTTTGATATATTTTAAAAAATTTATCCAATAAATTCTTACTGAATGCCTATTATGTATCAGGCATACTGCCAAAAATAAATCAGAACGGGTCCGTGCCCTCCAGGTACTTGTGACTCCAGTGAGAGGGGACAACCTGACCAGCGCGGTGCAGGGCCCGAGGGCCCGAGGTCTGCACCTGGCTCGCCGGGAGGAGAGCAGGAAGCCCCACGGGGCACTGCGGTCTGACCCGAGACCACGCCGTCCTTCCCAGACACGTCCGTCGCTTGTGTGTGTGTATGGTGGGGGCAGCACAGTGACTTACCTGACAGCTGGGGACAAGTAAGGTTCTTTAGCAAGAATGTTGGGACTGACATGTTGAAAACATACACATCACATAGATCTTCAAACTCCACAATCTTCAAACCCCAAATGTCACAAATACTGAGAGCTTGGTGGCAAGATTAAAAACATGACCATTGAGTAAGAGACCAGATGCTGTTCGACACATCTCCCAGGACTGTTTCACTTATATTATTCTCACTGTATCAATACTACCTCATCTGTGTGGTCTTAACTAAGAGAGGTGAAGAAACTTGCATAAAGGCACAAAGCCAATGTGCAGTGGAGAGTCTAGGGCCTGGGGTAACAACCCTACCCCAGGGGTAACAGTCCTTATGCACTCATATCTCATTCCTACAATCTGAAGTCTGCCTCAGGCGGCCTGGGTCTAATTTAAGCAATCGGTTAACTTTGTATTTCAATTTGGCTTTTGCAAAGCAATCGCATTTGCTGTGACAAACTTCTGGGTGAAATGGACATGGAAGTGGTCCTGATGCAGTGGCATACCTCTCCCTGAGAATTTTTCAGTATAACCTTCACATCTTCACCAGTGCCCCAGGAGTTCTGGTTCTTCCAGATGAGGTCTGTCGGAGGACTGGCTGTGACACCAGCGTTTGCAGCCCAGATCTGGGGGGAAAAAAAAGGCCATCAGTCTACTCAGAACCCGGCTATCCCATAGGCCAGTGCCAACAACATTATGAGTTGACTAGCTCACAGGACTGATTCTATGTCTCAGAACTGTGTCCTAGCTTCAGACTTGCTGTGTTAAGTAGCAGCGTCAAGGAGAAGCCACAGAACTTATCTAGGCTTGCTTCAGCTTCCTCATCTGGTAAGTGAAAATGATGATGACACAGGGCTCTGAAGTCAAGTCGCTCACATTGACATCCTAGCTCCTCTACGTGTCCGCCAACCTCAAGAAAGTGACCTTATTTTTGTCTTCCATACCATGGAACAGAAATGGTACCTTTAAAATGTGAGGCTATCATCAAGAACAAGTAATCACGCGCATACAGTGGCTGGCCCACTCAGTGAATAAGAGCTCTCAGTGTTGCCACTCTATTATTCCATGGGTTTTATGGGCCCACCTTCCTGTTAAGGGAGCCTTCGACCCCCTCCCATAGTATCTGTCCTCCAGTGGCCTGCAGCAGAAATTGAGGAGATGACTAACTTCTCTCAAACCTTCTATATAGCAAAAAGCCTATGGAGAATTCTCATGGAAACTGGTATGTCTCTAACCAGGAACAGTGTCACAACACTACGGAGTGTGTGAAACTGAGCTTCAAAAAAAATACAGGAAATGGACACATCATCCAGCAGTCAATGGATAACATGACTGCCGTTGAAATAGGCAAAACAAAGATTTTTCCTTCTCAACAGCATGAAAAATCCTGCCATATTTTTAATGTATTTGTTGGCAGAAGAGTGCGGGTGAAGCGGAGAAAACATTAGACTAGAAAGTGCAGGTCTGAATCCAGGACAGAGCACTGCATTTCTATGAACCTCAGTGTCCTCACCTGTACGGATACTGCCAGCAGCCTGATCTTTCTAAAGATCACACGGAAATGGGAAAGTTCTCTAACCCATAAATTTTTTTACAACAGAACACAGGCAATCTGATGGCAAAAGAAGACTGGAGATGGTATAGGCAGGGATATTTTTAAATGAGGGAAAAAACCGTACAAATTCCTGATTAGGAGAGTCCTTCCTCTTTAGAAGCTCGCTTGAAGCTTCCAAGCCTCCACCTGCATGATAAACGCAAAGGCCCAGGGGGCACCTGCCGGATCAAAGTGGAACAGCAGTGTATTCCTAACTGCGAGCATCGCTGGTCACTGGTCCACGTGGAATCACACAGCTGGTTTGGTGTGAATAATAACCAAGGTATCAGTCATTTTACTGACGACTGGTCTAGGCTAATTTAACCAAAAATTGTTCAATATGCAGCTGTATGTGGCTCATGAGCACCCAGACAGGGTGGTCCAGACTGAGACCTGCTGGAAGGACACGAGCAAGCAGGAAGACGCGGTTTGAAAAAAAGTTACATATCTGACACATTTTTTAATATTGATCACATGTTGAAATGATAATATTTTGGTTAGACTGAGCTAGGTAAAATGCAGTACCAAAGTTAATGTCACATATTTCTTTACTTTTTTAAAATGTGGCTATGAGAAAGTGTAAAATTACATATGTAGCTCTCTTATTTCTGTTCTAGAGTTTTAAGCTCATCTTTGCTATTATTGCCTTCTACGATTTTATAGAACAATCACTTACAACTACTACGATGTTCCAAAAAACTTCTCACATTTAATGCTACCGACTAGGGAAAAACATGTACTGCGTTATTTTGTATTATAATTGAGTTCTCCACTAGCCCTACAGACTAGTCTCTATTTCAGTCCCTGCGGAACCACAGGCAGTGGGAAACGCAGATGATTGGCATAATGGTTTCCCATTACTTTAAGAGATAGAGAGCACTCTGAAATCTGAATCTTCTGAATTAAAATGTTAGCTACTTTCCACTACATCACGCAGTTTCCATAAGACATACACGACTGAGCAATTTTCTCTCACTATAGTAACTACTAAGGAGAAGAAAGGATAATGTTGTTAGGACATTTGTTCCCATTTTTTCTCATTATTATAAAATTAGCATCTGATATTTTCACAATGTGGCATCAGGCTCTATGAATACTTTTTAAAAGAGAAGTTCTAACCTCTTGAGCCTTTGATCTTATACACTAAGGTTTATATCAATCAAAATGTAAAACGTGTTTAATAATTTTTAAAAAGAATCGATAAAGACAGTCATCTCTACATTCTTTAGGATAAAAATAGTGACTTCTTGAAAATCACTATCAAAGATAACATATATTATTGTCTGCAAAATCTACTTACTAAGAAAAGGCAAAGAAACCTTGTATCTGATCTATGAAGTGTTCTCTAAAAAGTGAGCAAATGATATTTAGTAACTATTGAAGATGTGGTATGTCAACCACATAGAAAACCATTTAGAACTCAAAATAGAATCAGAATGGCACATGGCCCATCTTTCTAAGTCTAGAACCTTTGACATTATGTAAAAACTACATATAACTTGCGCTAACGTTTTAAGTTTTAAAGGACTGACTCCATACGACAGTGCCTATCACCAACTGACTTCTATTGAAAACACAAGTAGGTCCTCATCAGCATGGCTCAGTTGCTTGGGTGTTGTACTGCAAAGCAAAAGGTCACTGGCTCAATGCCTAGTCACTGCACATGCCTGGGTTGCTGGTTCTGGCTCGTACAAAAGGCAACCAATCGATGTCTCCCTCCCTCCCTTCCCCTGTCTCTGAAAGTAAAAATAAAGAACAAAACATAAGTAGGTCCCTATCCCAACACGAGAAATGGTGACTAAAAGTGAGGCGGGGCCTGGGCACCAGCAACACTGGTTCTGAGGCTCGTCCGAGACTACAAACTGCTGCCCCATGGCACAGCCCCGGCTCGCACAGGCTGCCTTCCTAACTGTGCTTGATGCCCGGCAGGGCCTGCTGAACTCCCCTGGGCCACGATGCTAAGTCGAGAGGCAGCGGTTTTATAACTACTAGCATAGACAAAATAAAAAGAATTCATAGATCAATTCTTTACTTTTAGTAGACAATTGTCACTTTCAAAAACAAAACTTTTAAAATCTTTAACAGCATGTACAATCCCTAATAATGTCAAAGACATTATTAATGCCCAGTTTTAAAATGCTTCTCTTTAAGCCAAAAATTTTCTTGAATTACTTTAACAGTTAGGTAAGACAATGAAGTTCAATGATGAACAAATTCACTTACTGTAACAGTCTGGCCTGCCTTCAGCACGTATCTTGAGGTATATTTGTAAATGACTGATGTGTCTCCAATTTTTCTGATCATCTCCCAGCCTCCCATTGGTTGATCCTATTCACAAAACATAATTAAAAAAGGTCACTTCAAATATAGAATTATGGAACAATCAAATAAATGAATCTATACAGGTAGTTAATCTAGCTTTATGATTTACTTCATATTATTCATATTTTCCTATTAGAAAATGAAAATATGGCTTTGTCATTCAGCAAAAACAGTAACTTTGACAATGTTGCAGCTTAAATGATTAAGATACTTAATTTTAAAGAGGGCAAAAGTGGAAGAAAGGGGTGTTTTAAGTTCACGTGGGTCTTTTAAATTCACATTTGTCATAATTATAAATATCTAAAACTTGATTAATTTAAGCTTAGAAACAGAAGGAAGAAATGACGTCTCTTCTCTTTTGCATCTGGACCACTTCTGGCCACACTGAACTCCCTCACCTAAAAGCAGAAGGGCTCACAAACGGTGAGTGGCACCAGCAGCCAGGGCCAAGGGCCACCTCGAGGCCCCCGGCCGCCCAGACCTGCCTGACAGCTGAAGAAAGGCACAGGACGTCAAGGCGTCGGCTCCCCTGGCGCACAGCCCTTATTCAAAGACAAGAATAAACCAGGCTGAGAGCCAGCCTCAGAACAGCTCCAAGCAGGGCTGTGCGCCTTCTGAAACACGGCCAAACTATAACAATGGAGCAGCAGAGGCTACTCTGTTCTTTAGCAGTTTAAGTCGTGGCTGAGGCTGAGGGCCTGTTCTCTTCAGCATCAGAACGGCCACTGCTCCTTTGCCCATCCAAATTGTTTCTTCCTCCATGTGCCAGACAGTGTTCATGCCCTCGCACCCCAGACCTGCCTCCAGCATCATCTCACACCCCGGAGCCCCAGCTTCACGAGGCCTAGTCAGACAGAACCTTCACCACTTAAAGCCCCAGCTCGAAACTCCACAATTCCCTCAAATATTTTATGTTTACTTTTAAACAAATAATTTTAAGACAGGGCTTAATACTATTCTTGATATAAGTTAAATCATTAGCATCTGTTCATTCATTCATTTAGAGAGGAAAACACCGTCTGCATATATCTAAGTCTGGCTCACATTTCCTTCCTTTCACAGAGAATATCCGCCACTTACATCCACACTCCAAGTTTTTCAGAAATCTGGGTGGGGCAGGGAGGAACAGTAACTCATCCTCAGGAAGGCCGCTGCGACAAAATGGCCAGAAGTGGCGGCGGGGGGGGGGGGGGGGGGAAGCCCTGGCTCTTTTGTAAAGGGCTAACGAAGAAAATCTTTAGAGCATCCACTCTTCTTCCCCCTCCTACTTTAATTTGTATTTTCTTCATGAATTTAAGTGAAGACTACCGAATCCATGTAACTGCTGAGGTTTTATTACAATTGCAAGATAGCCCACCAATCAGCAAAGCCTTGCTGGGGAGAAAAATGGGCCTGCTTTTCACCTGTTCAGAAGTGTTCTTCAAGCGGATAAACTTTCCATCAACATCTATCTCTTCGATGCAGACGTTCCCAGTGGCTGAAGCGGAATGAGAGATGCTAACACTGCTGCTCGCCTCCGACTCTTCCACGTCGACTCGCTTCCGTTTTCCTCTAGTCGTGCGCACGCTGCGGCTGGAGGATGCTCGTGACACGGTCACACGGGAAGAAGGGCTTGGCGAGAGCTTCAGTCTGCACAGGAAAAGTAGGACGTGGGTTTGTGAAACACAGATGCCCTCCTAGCTTAAAAAATGGGTACTGCTATCCCGTAGGTGCCTCGCTAAAGGAAAACACTACTGATGATTCTCTTAGACAAAGGCAGCGTCTGTCTTAACTGAGATAAACCTCTTTGGGTTAGGATGCCCACCATCAATTTTATTTTATCTTTTAAAAAGTTGTAATTTGAATGTTTTCCCCATGAATAGAATATAACCATAATGCAGAAGGTTGTGAAAACGGAGGAAATCATCCCACCTACCACCATGCTACCACGGACACTGTTAGATTCAGTACTTTTGGTATTGTCATGCCTGTCTTCTTTTTTACAAAATTAGTCACAATGTACATGATATTGAAATTGAGTGGTTTTTTATTCTAAATCACCTACTTTCCTCTGGAACTTTTTTCTGAGAATAGGTGTTAAAAAGATTCAACACTAACCAGAGTTGAAAAATGAGTATAAAGTCTCTTTCAGCAAATCTGGTATTTTACAACATATTAAATTATCAAAACATTTTAAATCGAAAGGAAAGGCCCCATCCTGACACAGTCCAGCACACTTAACTAATAATAATAATAGGAAAGACTGCTTGTGCAATGGTTGTTGCTGAGGTACATTCCTACACTTCAACAGCTAGGTGTTAAAAGAAATGACAGAAAATACATAAAGTTGCCTTAATTGTTTTAAAATAAAGCTCAATCCTATCTACCTTTTTTTAAACAAAGGGGCAGGGCAGAGAGGAGACTATGAGGTAGGGAGGCACGTAAGTTACTCACCTCTCTTCTTCACCTTCTAAGAGTTTTCTGTAAGCACTGATCTCCATGTCCAGGGCTAACTTTACATCAAGCAGTTGCTCGTAATCGCTCAGCTGCTGCTGCATCTGATCCCGGATCTCCGCCACCTCTCTCTCTTTGTCAGACAGCATGCGCCGAGAGTTGTCTCTTTCTTTAGCAAGCAAGTCCTCCAACTCTTGAATCCTCTCCAAACATGCTCTAGACTTCGGATGCAAGCGAACGCATTTACTTTCTAGGAACGTTCCCACACTCGCACAAGGCAGCTATTTTAAACCATAAACCACCTCCTGGACTAGTAAACAAATAGAACCCTAAGGAACATCTAACAGACGAAGGGAGATTTTGATTTTAAGAAACTGAAAACCAAAATTCCTCTGATAAAAACACAGCTCGCAGGGAAGTTTTGGCTTATAAAATTCCTCAAAACAAAGACATATCAATCAAATGCGTTATAACATACATATAATTTTTCTGTATTCAGCCAAATAGAATTTTAAACTGTGGTCTTAATAAAAGTCAAGCCTGGCTCCCCGACAAGCCTTTGAGCTCAGAAGTATAAATTAACAAAAGTCTCGAGTTGAAAAGAAACTCATGGACAAAAGGAACAGGCGTAGGTTTTAGAGAACTGCTGGAACTGTGTCGGGAACAAAGAAAAGGGATCCCCGCGGTCCCTTCAGGGGCCGTGCCTGCTCACACTCGGTCGGCACGTCAAAACCACGCAGCACAGTGCGGTCTGTAAAACACCACTGTAAATGTAAACACTTCACATCTGATGTTTAAAAAAGGAGAAGTCACACATCCTAAACCAGAAAGTTCACCTTAGAAACCTTGTGCTGCACTAGGTAATTATTCTTCTGTATTTCTCCAATATATTCTGTATTTCTATTCATCTCAGTAGCCTCAGAGAGTGACAAAGTAACCAACTCACAAAGACTGATGGACACAGCTTAGCCCCTGGAATCACAAACGGCTGCACTGGAGCAGGATGGAAATGTACCTGGTACAAAAATTAAGTCTGGAAAACTGGAGATAGAGAAGGAGCTCTGCACTGTGCAGGAACACTACACTCTAAATAGTAGATTTATTTCTCACAGGAGTATGGGTAAAAAAATTTTAAACTGCTTTTTATGTGTACGGGGGTTGAACAAATAAGTAAACAAGATAGCAGAAACCAGGTTTCTTACTCTCAGAAAGAAAAATTACAGGTAAGCGAGAAATAAGCCTAAAATGAGCCCTGAGGTACAGGATATGAGTAGGAGACATCAGTATGAACTTGTGTTTAGCTTAATATAAATATAGGTAGACAAATAAGTGTGCACACGCAGATTAGCATATGTACATGTATTACCTAGCTCTGCCCTCAAGAGGGCAGAAAAAATACAAGCTGGGCCTGCAGCATCTTCCATTTGACAGTACCAGAAAGCAAAGCAGTGCTCCGGGCACAGTAGCCCACCGGACAGAACTACTGATGGCCAACGCTGGAACAATCCGAGCCAATAAAATAATGGAGTACTGGATTATAACCCACAGCACAAAATAAATATCTAATAGTTCATGCTGATATAAACAAATGAACGAATTAATTGATAAACAGGGGAAGAAGAAACAAACCTTTACTTAAGCATCCCACTTAATAAACGTAGATTGTCCCGCTTCTGGGGGTAGAGCTGAATTCCTGCCCTTCTTTCACACTTGACAGCGGGCTGGACTCAGTGATTCGCCACTGAGCAACTTGCTTCTCAAGAACAAGGTATGGCAAGGGGAAAATAGCAACTTGACAGTGAAGAAACCTGGCAAACACTACCATAACCAATGACAAAGGTTAACATCACCCATGACACAGCATGGATGTCATGTAATCCCTGACATGATGTAATGAGAAGGGCATTTAAGCCCATGACCCCAGTCTAATCATGACAAACCCAGACTGGGCACACTGTATGGGATGCCCAGCTAGTCTCCCCAAAACTGCCATGGTCGTGAAAAACAAGGGAAGCCTGAGAAACTCTCATGGACCAGAAGAGACTGGGGAGATGTGGTCGACAGTGACAGGAAATGTGATGAAACCCAAACACGAGTAACAAAGTGCCAACCAAGGGGGGAAACGGGGTGAGAGAGACGGTGTAACTGCCTGCGCCATCCTTCCAACTCTTCAGTAAATCTAAATTATGCCGAAGTAAAAAAGTTGTTTTAAGGATAATCAATCAATTACAATTCAGAGTGGCGTCTGACATTCTAGAGCAGAAGCAGGCACTCATCTCAGAGTGATACCAAACATAATCCCTGCCTCCAAGAACTTGCATTTACATGCATTTGCAGAAAAACATGCTCTAAACTATTTTTTTTCCTCTCAGGTCTCTTATATTTTCTTTCCTCCAAAAGAAAAAATATCTAAACTCAAAACGCCTCTTCTTCCATCAGTCCCTTCACGGCAGTCCCATGTGGGAGCCACACAGCACGGGCAGCAGGAGGGACCTAAAGGAGCTGGTGGGAGACATAAGCTACCCAAGGTTTAGAGATGACCCGCCTGAGCCTAGGTGTGTAAAGCCCAAAGTGTCCCTATTTGTCTGCCTCTGATGCTACAGAGTTCTTTAAGGGGGAAAAATCAAAATGTAGGCATAAAAATGTTTTATTTTGAGGTTTACCCTGGATTATTTTGTAGTTGAAGTACAAATATTTCAATTATATTTTAAATAGCTGCACTATAGCTGTTATCTAGTGAAATACATAGAATGCAACATGAAAAACAGACCTAGATTCTTCTGCCCAATTCTACCATTATCAACTTAGGAGACTCTTGGCGCTCACTAAACCAGTGTCCACGTTTACAAAATGAAGAGGTCTAACCAGATTATCTGTAATACCTTTGACTCTAATATTTTATGACTGACTTCTACTGGTCTTGGATTTTTTATTTTGTAGTACATAACAGTTTATTGTATTAGTTTATTATGCTGTAGCTGCAAAAGCAATTTCCAAAGTCTGGGTGTTAGAAAAACAAAAATTAGATATGCTTTCAGAGTGCCGCTGGAAATCCCTGCAAGTCAAAGAGACTTCTGACCAACCAATTAATTTGGCCAAAGTAAAAAAATCTACATAGAAATGCAATATATGAAATTCCTAATTCCAAAACATAATACTGCTACCATCTAGTATTTAAAATATTTTCTAAAGTCAGCATTTTAAAGGCTATGTCGATTTTAAATACAATTTAAGAAGCACTGTACTCTGCTAACGTGAGTCAGATCCCTGAAAGGAAACACTGTGGCCTAACAGGCAGCGTGATGAAACCGATATGACTCAACAACAAACACTACTAAACAGACGAACAATAGGAAAATACCAAGAAAGATGGCTTATGTCTCTTTAGTGATCTTTCTAAGGCTAAAATTTAATAAAGATATTCCTCAAGATATACTGTTTATCGTAAGATCTGATACCAGGAAAGAACAGAGGAAAAGATCCCTACTCCCAGACCCACAACAGAGAAATTTAAAACTATTCTGGTCGAAGGAGGTGCTCCTCTCCTGTTTCCTAAGGAGTTTGCTCCAAGAATCCCCTGGGCCGTGCCTAACACCATTTAAAATCAAGTAACCTGAGCCCTGGGTACTGCAGCTCAGTGGATTGAGCACTGGCCTGTGAACCAAAGGGTAACTGGTTCAATTCCCAGTGAGGACACATGCCTGGATTGTGGGCTAAATCCCCACTTGGGGGTTTATGAAAGGCAACCAATCAATGTTTGTCTTTGCACATTGATCTGTCTCTCCCTTTTTCTCCCTCCTTTCCCCTCTCTCTAAAAGTAAATAAAATACTTACTTAAAAAAAAGATTATCTGTTATATTCCTAAAAGGAAATCTTTGAAGTGAATGAGTGAGGTGTAAAGTGAAAAACTGGGAACTGGGAGAGAAACCCACTTGTCAAGCGGGACTTGCAGTCTTCGGGCAAGTCACCCGACTCAGCCAGTCTGTGGTTGGACCCAGTGAACCCAAAGGTCCTTCAGCTTAACTGTCACATAAAACTTCAAAATACTAACAGGACAAAAACAGGTCTAAAATAATCTTTATATTTATTGTGTGAGTAACAAAGTACACATATGGGCAGTGTAAAAACTTCTAATTTTTTATAGTACTCCATTTTATGTAAGTCACTGCTTTGTTTTCTAAATTCCTGCAATAAATGTTTTCCATTTTATAAGCAGGAAAAGATTTTACTAAAAATAAAATAATAAGAAAAATAAAGGTTTAATCAAGAATCAGATAAAGTTAGTCTTATGTGGAAAGTTTAAGACAGCGAGATTTCCTCCCTTGAAGCGAGCAGGAGCTGAAGCGCTTCCCAAGTAGCTGGGGCGAGCAGCCGATGACGAGGCACCGAGCACCCCGTGACTGCACATGCGCTTTGTGCCCCCAGCGTCGCCCTGAGACCAGAACAGACTTCAAGCACCGTGCGCGCCTGCGTGAGCTACACTGAGAGCACACCATCCCGTAAGGATAGGAACCCCCACAGCACATCCCGCAGCACTGTCCTCTGTCACTCGCTGCACCAATGAATGGATGTCACTAAATTCTTAATACACAGATTAATGCTATTTCCTGAGCGAGAACTTGTCTAGAGAAACACAAAGCACTTACCGCCCACAAAGAATCTTTGCATGTTTTTCTTCATTGTGCCTTCCAGTGTGAATGAAAAAGGAGTTTGGTGGGAAGAGCACTGTGTGGAGAGGAGGCTGCTGGGTGGGGCAGAAAACCTGGGTCCTGGGGTAAGACCTGGGATAAATCAGCAGCCTGCTTCTCAAGGACAACTCCCTTAGCTCTGGGTAATCTATTAGTTTAAGAATAACAGTCTTCTGATTGGAAGAAGCAATGAAAAAAGGAAAAATCCTGGGAGCACTGTAAAACCAGAGTGCAGAAAAACTCTACGCTCTCTAAACACGGCACCAGGCAGAGCGAAGCCCCACAGACTACCATGGCGGGGTCGGCTTTGCAGTTCAACTTCGATTCTGCTTAGGGGAAGGTACTCACCTCTTTCTGTAGGTTAGAAAGCTGAGATGAAAGGCTCTCAATTCTCATACGACTTTCCATCAGTTCTTCCCTGGCACTGTTGACAGTAGAAGTATTCATCTCTGATGCTAGCCTGGCATTCTCGAGCTAAAAGAAGCAGCAAACCAGTCAGTCTTATGTGCTGAATTAGAACAAATGAATGAGGAAGCATGATTCATCTTAAGGTAATTTCATTTCAAACCTAAGCCCTGCTGGTAACTGGCTGATGAAACAGGAAGTTGGCAGACATGCAAAAATTACTGTGTTTTAATGCATGAGCTAATATACCTGGGTCTTTACCCAAAGTTTATGACTTCAATATTTCATCTATTATATCACTAACATCTCAGACACCACAACTAATAAGGAGACTGGGCAGTAGCAATTTAACCACAGTGACGTTGGGGGGAAAACAAACATCACATATCCCTCAACCACAAAATATAAAGAAAATAGGAAGAGAGCACTGATAAATTATTCAAAACCAGACAGAAACACTTTTTTTCAGAAGCAAAAAAATAGCTCCTCAGGTAGATTCACTATCCTGTCCCTCCGAATGCCCATAATATTCTGTTGTACACGTGTCTCGGGCACACTTTCTGTGTCGTCTCTTCCCTGGTCCCTCTAAGACCGCAGTCCAGGTGATGGGCCCAAACACTGGCTCCTCCACGGCCCAGTACAATGCCCAGGACTGGGGAAGTGCTGGACAGCTGAGTGTGGTGGTCAAAAGACCTCTCCTATCCACCAACCAACTGCTGCTTCATAAAATGGATTAAAAGCAACATGACCAGTTTAAGGCCATGCAATAGAAATTATTTTCGATATGCCTATGATCCCAATTTTCTAAGTCTTCCGCTAATAATTCTTTTTAATCAGATCATGTAACATTTAACACACTGGGGTGAAAGTATTTACTAGGAAAGCTTGTATTTATTGGGATTTTATGAATTTCTGCATGGTCTGCTAATACAAGTGGGAAGTGTCTATAATACTTTTTAAATATAAAAAAGTGTCAGAGGAAGAAATATCAGACTTTTCATTTGGCCTTTTTTCACAAAAGGCCCCAGTGTGGTGGTCACAACCTGTGCACAATGATGACCTGAGGTCAGACCACATGCAGTTCAGCATGGTCAGTACTTGTTATTGGAAGAAAACGATTTTCGAATGGCTTGGGTTTTACTACTACAACATGACATGACTGATCAATGTGACAGAGATAAACCCTCACCTCATACAAAATTAGAATAACCTGACTATCTCTGAATAATTTCTGGTAATGTTTACTTTATAGATAACTGCTATTTTTTACAAATCCATTTTCCATATTTATGAAGACCAAGGGAATTCATTTAAGAAAAGGAGAATACACAGACACCAAGCCATCTTCTCCGGGGAACTGTGAGCGGCGGTGGAGAGGTGCGGCCAGTTCCCAGGGGAGGCTGCTTACCTTGGCGTGGTAAGTCTGCTCCAGCTCCTCCTTGTACAGCTTGACCTGGGCATCGTGCTGCTCTCTCATCTCATGCAGGGCCTGAGCCAGCTTGTACTCGTACTCAATCTGACGCCCAGAGTCCACCTCCACCAAGCGAGTTTCGTGCTTCCTTCTGGTCTCGTTGATCTCCTGGGGCGGGGAAATTATATAAAACCAAGTTACACACCACAGCTGCACCCGTGCAAGTCTGACAGCCACCTGAAGCTTCAGGAACCAACCTCCTCAGGTCTATCGTAGGGCAGGCATGTGAACACGCTTTTTTTGCCTTCGTTTTCAAACGAGATTTTTGAGATGGAACTAGTAACAGAAATGGTAGCATCTTGAGCCCTGGGAATTTTCTTTCTTTTTAGTTGCATAGCTATTCATTTCTCTGAAGGCAAGGAATGGCACGGAAAGTTTACTAAAGAACCATGCAATCATGGATGACTATGTATGTGTACTGAATAGTGACTGTTTCTCTAAATTGTCATATTGATGATCCTAAAACACCTCTGGAAAAAAGTCCACATGAAAAACTTGTTGGGACAGCTTCAACTAGAAAATGTGTACACAACGAAGCTATTTTCTTAGACATACTAAGATGCAACAGTGGGCAGAGAAAGCTAATTTACACGACTTATTTTAAGAGCTGGTGCTAAGGTATCAATATCAATTGATACAAAATCATACTAACAATTACTACTTTACTATCTCGAATACATGACGATTCACTACTAAACAATAGAAATGTAGGCATAATCCTGTGCTTTGTGTTTTAAAGAACCATCCAAAACTAGAATGGCTCGGGACACAAGTCTAAGAATAACGTTTCCATTCCGGCTTCCAACTCTGAACACAGTTGTCTTTAATGACAGTAATTAAAGAGGCCACAAGAGGGGGATATAACCCACTGAAGTTCTTGTTTCTGTGTCATCTTACTCCAAGTGTTTTCCTACGCCTTGCCTTGCTTTTTTGGCACAGTTCTTCCCAGAGGAAAATGCACCAGTCAGAATCAGAAAACCAAGTTCAAATTCCAGCTCTGCTATGAACCTCCCAGGGCTCGCATCTAATTAAGAAAGTGGAAAACACGCAAATGAAGGCTTTAGTTCAACTAACATTGAGCACATACTAATAACTTTGCCCTTTTTCTATCTCCCTCTTCTTTCTGGGTTTCTCCTTCCTTTTTTTGCCCCCTTACCTGTTCCTTAATACATAACTATGGTAAACTTATTGAATAGAATTATACCTTCCATTTGAAAAAAATTAAGAGGAATATTTTAAATTCATTCTCAAATAAGGCAAAAACTAAAAAGATGCCGCCCAACAGTGTGAAGAGGCAGGAGCCCACACACATCATCAGAACTAAGCGGTGGTAGATCACCAACAACTTTAACAAAACAAAAATGTGGCCAACTTAATATAAACATATCTCCATTTCTAAAGCAACACTGTAGCCCACAATTATATCTGTCACTACAGTTTACAAGGAGCTTTCATACGCAATATTCCATTTTGATTCTCACTGTCCTCTGAAGGAAAAATAGCGGGTATTGGTATTTCATTTTTAATAAAGAACCGACTCAAGAGTTGTCCAAAGTCTGAATGCTCAGGAGTGTCCACTTTACCCCAACAATACCTGTCTTGTTTTAATACTATTTCATTATAAAAATGGTCAGATTTCTAATATTTTTTCCAAATAAAAAATTAATGTATACAATAAATGCCTATTTTTTCAAGTCATTGTTAGACACTGTTTCCAAAATTATTTAACTGTATGTCTACCCTGGGTTGATTCCAACCCTCTTCAATTTTGAGGGTATACACATTCCCCTTTCTCCAATTTTATTACTTAATTTTTGGCAACACTCACTGCCTTCAATCTCCAAGGCTTAACCACAGAGGCTAAGCTTGTAAATGATAGTTTAAAATTCGCACATGTGAACTGCAAATGCTCTGGGTAGCCAGCCTTCCAGAAGGTACCAACGGTCGCTGCCTCCAGGGGTGCACACCCTGTGTCCTCCTCTCACACTGGTCACAGTCACTACGTGTGACAAAGAGTGAGGGCGAATCGCTTCTGGCGTTAGCTTCCAGAAGATAATGAGGCCTCGGTCTTGCTCTTACTCTCTCCCTCATCACCCACTCATTGGAAGCCACACCGTGAGCAGCCCTCTGCAGAAGCCCAGGCTGAACTCACAGCTCCTGCCAGCGGCCTGCGAATGAGCTCGGAAGTGGCCTCTTGCAGGGGGAAAAGCCTGACTGCAACCTCACTGAGACCCTGGGACGTAAATGGCCATCAGTTACACTGCTCCCAGAATCCTGGCCTTCAGAAACTGTGATAATAAAGGTCTGTGGTTTTAAGTTGCTAATTCTGGAGCAATATTAGGCAGCAATACATAACTAATACAGATGCTTAAACGGGCTGACAGCAATTAACTGCTGTGGCTAAGCCTTTATAAGCCAAATGAAGTAAATCATACCCATTGACTGTAACAGCTGGAATTCTTCACCCAGCCTTTTAGCAGCAGTACCTTGAAAAATTTACCAACAAAATTCCTCCCATTTACATATACAGCTACAGCAAAGCCTTTCAGGACCCCTTCATTCCTTGGAAAAGTAAACTTATATATAGTTACCTCCTCATACATGTTTTTACGAAACTCCAAGTCTTCAGTCAGACTCTGGCAGCGATTCTCCAAATCCACTTTAAGTAAAGTTTCATCAGCAAGTTGTTTCTTGGCCGCAGTTAAGGAGGCTTCCAACTACCATAAGGAAAAAGAATTCATGAAAATTATACAGCAATCATTTAGTAATGAACTTAATTGATGCCTATGGATTGAACCCAATCGAGTATTGCAACTTCTATATATGTACAAACGCACAGGAGTCCCTCGTTACAACCTTCATCCTTCCCTGTGTGTTTCGTCGCTGGTCCCACCCAGAGTGTCACAGCAAAACCCCTCTCACACTGGGGGCCCGGCAACAGGGAGGGAACAGAAACCTCTTTCATTTTCCTTTCACACTTTCCTTTTCCCTGGGTGCAGAACACTGTTATGACACTGTCTCTTTCCCTTCTCTGCATTTTGTCACAGTAATGAAATAGGCTTCCAGAGCAAGCAACAGAAGAGTGTAAGGACAACAGAGAGGAAGAAAAACAAAATCAAGATACAATGACCAAAAAGTGAAGGTGCTTTGAGTATTAGCTACCTGGATGCTATCAGATGAGCCTAAAGTAATCAAATTATTACATTTTAAAAAATACAATATACAAATAAACTTAAAAATCAATCAACCAATTGAGTCAACTGACGTGCCACGAGGGCTCAAGAGCAGACTTTACGTTACCTGGGCAACCTGATCCTTCAGGTCCTCCACTTCTCCCTCTAAACATTTTTTGTCACCCAGGGCAGTAGCCAGAGCTGCATCTTTAGAATTCAGTGCTGCTTCATACTCGCGAAGCTTCATCTGGGCTCCATTCAGATCCGATTCCTTCTTGGCATAGCTGTAAGACATTTGAAAGAGCACAAGACATCAAATTATACCCCTGATTCGAGGCCTTCTCCCTCCATGCTCTGGGGGAGACGAAGAGGCAGTTTATGTAAAAGCTGCCATCATCTATTAATGTCAGAGAAGCATCCTGGCTGGTGTGGCTCAGTTGGTTGGACATCGTCCTGCAAGGCAAAAGGTCGCGGGTTTAATTCCCAGTCTAGACACATGCCTGGGTTGCAGGTTCGGTTCCCAGCCAGGGTGCAGACAAGAGGCAACTGATTGATGTTTTTCTCTCACACTGATGTTTCCCTTTCTCCCTGTGTTCCCCCCCTCTAAAAATAAATACATAAAATCTTGTTCTTTTTTTGAATTAGGGGAGCAATTCAGGAGCATTATATCTAGAGTTTTTCAAAGATAACCACTTTCCCTCCAGTGACTGCCCTTCTGTGATTACCAATGACTCCAGCTCGTAGAAGTCCATACGATCAATACCAGACTCCTGCTGCCTCTGAGGACACATTTCCTCCTTGTCCTCTACAGAGGCATTTCGTGTGTCAGTAAGAATACACTTCTGAAGAAATTAATATTTATTATTTTAAACACAATGAATATTATAAACCAAGATGTGCAGGAGACATAAATCAAGATATAAAATGAGATTAAATAAATGAAATAAAGTTATATTAAAAAGCAATCTTAGCCCCAGCCCAGAGGCCCGGTTGGTAGGAGCGCCATCCTGTGCACCAAAAGGCTGCAGGTTAATGCCCAGGCAGGGCACGCATCTAGGCTGTGGGTTCGATCCCCAGTGCAGGCGTGTAGGGGCATCACGGCGCTGTTTCCGTCACACTGATGTCTCGCTCGCTCGCTCTCAACTTGGCGATGTCCCACAGAAACTCCCTTGACATAGAAGTAACTGGCCCCAAGTTTGCAAGCATGTCCCATTCCTCACATAAGAGGTGATTTTAAGACTTTCCTAACTATAAATTGGGGTCTCACTGATTTTTTGAAGAAAAAATTAATTATTTCAGTTTATATTACTAACTTCCCAAACATGAGGACCAAATTGAAGTTTCTTTTTCTTTTAAATATCACTTTTTGTTAAACGGAGTTCCATATTATAAAATTAAGGTTCCTCTGGATATATTTTGTCAAATAATTGCATCTTAAAAAAACTATTTTCCACGCAAATTATTCTATTATTACTAATTAGTGACACTGGATAAGCCTTAATATCAGAGTTCTCAACACCTGTTCTTAATTAAAACTGCACTTGTGAAAGAGTATTTCTACTACCGATGTCTGAGTAGGCTAAAAGAGGGATCTTCCATGAATAGAAATGAAACATTCTGTAATATTAAAATAAAATGAATAAATCTGCCCACAGGATAAGCAAGTATAATTCAAAGAGAAGATTTAATAGTATTCATTTCTCATTCATTTTGCTATTATAAAAAAATAACTACATAAAATCTTGGCAGTCATATCACATTTTCTCAAATCCTGTATTGCTAAAAACCACAAGATGGCAGCCTTTCACCGAAGACTAGTTTCAAGGGGAAAGAAAAATCAACTGTTTAAAAAAATCCCATACAATCCTTAATCTACATCAACAAAAAAGGTGCCTAGTTCCTACAAGCGCTGGGCCCTGGGGCGGGGGGGGCTCCGCAGAACAGAATCAATGCTTGTGGCGGAGCTATTATTTTACCCCTAATAGATATATGACCAGAGCTGGGCAGGATACATACTATGATGCGTATGGTTTTTTAAATTTACATATTACACAATATTTACAAGAGGTAGTGACTCAAAATTACTTAACAATTACAAAAAATCCCACTGCACCTCTGTCTAACATGTAAGTCTCAGACCACAATGTGGAACTGCTCAGTGTAGTGCCTGCCTCGTGGCAGGGGCGTGAACCTGCGCTTCCCAGAAACCAAACGGCCCGCCAAGGACACTGAATTAAACACACACACACCATCACACCAACTCCACAGGCTACTGTATGTTCTGTGTCTGATTTCACTGATTTAATGAATACTATGCACACACGGTTCCCAATCCAAATGCTACACCACAAGTAAAGATACTCTGCAACATCTTGGGAGTACAGGAAATACGAGAAGCCAAAAATTAAGACAGCGCACCCACATGAGTAGAATATGGTGATTTCTTCAACAAAAAGCAAGACCAGGTACGTGAGGGAGTGGAGGAGTAGGGGATGAGTAGGATATGCCAGTAATTTGTGATCTTGAGCCACCTGATGGTACCAATTGAAATCTGATGTCAAGTTCTTAGTTACTTATACCATTGTTGTTTTGTAAAAATACATTGTTCCATCCTGGCCAGTGTGGCTTGGTTGGAGCATCATCATCACACACACACACACACACACACACACACACACACACGCAGTTGTGGGTTCAGTCCTGGATCAGCACACATACCTAGGTTGCATATGGGGGGGGCAACTGATCAATGTTCTCTCACATCCATGTTTCTCTTAAAAAAATCAACAACAACAACATATGAAAAATCAGCAAACATTCTCAGGTGAGGATTTAAAATTTTTTAAAAATATATACATTGTTCCTTTATGAATTCTTTCAAAAAGCTGTAACTTTCACATTACTGAACAAACTAGGAAGATACAAATCAGAATTGAAAATGTGCTTAAAACTGCAAATGAAAGCTAACCTTGCAAGCTCTGGCCCCAGGGGTAAGAGGAGAGTTGGATACTATGGCTGCATCTTGCACACACATATTACACTTCTACAAATCCATATTGGTGCATGCACTTAGCTACCTGCAGAATCTAAGAACTCTTTGAGGGCAAAGGTCATGACTTATTCATTTATTTTCTGCATAAATAATGTGTGTAATTATTGCTCAAGAAACTTCCCATACACTCCCCCACCAAAAAAAAGGTCTGCTTTTGTTATGTAAAATACTTGTTATCATGTCTTTTCCTACCAAAAAAAAAACCAAAACATAACTGTGACCCTTTTATAATCTCTAAGAGTTGCATTCCTAGATGTCCTCCCTATTGTCTGCCAATTTCTGAAGCTAGATAATGAAAAAATGCTTAAGATTACGCTCATCTTCATCCGATAAGAAACCAAGAATCAATGAGTTTTATATGCCACAGAAGATGCCAATACCAAGACCATGTAGCAAGTTAACATCTTAAACATAATCTTGTCATAGTTTCTAACGACTATTTTTCACTCACTGAATGTAATGCAGGAAGCTGAGCTCCAACTATCAGCACAGGGTCACAGTGCAGAAACGGGCAGACGGACACCCTAAACCCCGGACACACCCTAAACCCCGACGTGCAGTGGCTGAGCGCTCCCGTGAGCCAGAGGAACACCCGACCATGCCCCGGAGCTCACAGCAACTTAGGACTCCAGGGGTTGGCGGGCACTTATCTTTGACTGTATTTCGTAATTAGGTTTGTTCAGTGTTACTAAACTACGTACGGTGTTCCTACCTCAAGATAAGGAGACCTTCCTGTGTTGTCACAGAAATTCAGTATGTGAATCTAACATTCAAAATGTGTGCAATGAATATAATTTTTAAAAACATACTCATTTGCTGTGTTTATTTTTAAACTTTTATTATTTTTTTTATTTTTTAGAGCGAGGGGAAAGGAATGAAAAAAAGAGAGAAAGAGAAACATTGATGTATGTCATCAGTTGCCTCCTGCACACCTCCAACCAGGGACCTGGCCTATAACCCAGGCATGTGCCCTGACTTGGAATCGAACTGGTCACCCTTTGGATCACAGGCCTGTGCTCAAACCCACTGAGCTACACCAGCCAGGGCCTGTATTTACAGAAGGACCAAAATGCCAACAGCAGGCAAGAAAAAAAGTTTTATAAAATATACTTGACACTCTATCCTAATTAAGAATTTCCTCCCTTAGTAAACAAAATTAGCTTTCATTTCAAGTTACCAGTAGTTTGAATTTCACCAGTCATAACAAGCAATTAAAATATCACACTGCTACTCAGTTTATATCACAAGTACTCAGCTGAATGAAGTGCCTAGTTTGGCCAGTAGCACAACCACACGAGAAATCCCTGAGGTCAGTGTATCTGCAACACCCACAATGTACCCAGGAACACGGAATCTGTGTTATCTTCAGGACAGGATCCGTACGCATGCTGGGGGTGGGTGTCCCTCTTTTACAAGTGCCACAATTTCCAAGGGCCAGTATTTTCTCAGGTACTCCTGTCCTTGTTCTTCGACTCTCACATACAGAAATACAGGTACAAAGAGCTACCTTAAGCAATTCAATTTAAGAGAACTAAATTATAGATGATCTCTTAGTTGGTGAAATAATTACATAGTTGGTGAAGTAATTACATACCTAGAGAAAGCTATATAAAGTTAGTTTCTGAATATTAAATGTCATTTCCATAAAATTTGCCAAGGATTATAATACTGCACATATATAAAAGTGGACAAGGGCAAGAATTTGTGTTCAATAAATGCTTATTAAATGAGTCAAGTCTGTTGGAGAAATGTGTGCTTATGGAAAAATCCATCCAAAACATAATGTTGATATGACAAACTTAATGCAGACTTTTAAAAGCCACACATTTGAAATAAACTAGATTTTAAATATCAGACACAGCAGAAGTCTTCTATGTAAAGTTGTTATTTCTAATCATGTCCATAAACAAGTATTTTTTAATCACATAAAACAGACCCACTCTACATGGAGAGCCAGGCCAATTAGGTCCAGCTGCTCGAGCTCCGTTTTAATTTACCTTACAGTTCTTTTGAACAGCTGCCTGGTGGCAGCTGAACACCACTCAACACAGTGTAGTTATTCAAGTGACTCAGATAACCCAGCTTCTGAAGCTGGCTCTGGTCATACTCAAAAGTTCAGAATCAACATGTCCTTTATCCTCTAGCCATGGTCCAGACCTTTAGAGGAAAAATAAGCCTTATTCAAAACTTTATTTTTGAAACTTTATTAATATAAAGGTTATCGATATGCCC